GGGGGGGGGGTGGGAGTTTGGTTTGATTATTGTATAAGATTTGTACCCGGCGGCGAGGGGAGGTTGAGAAGGTCATGGCGAGAGGCAGAGGAATTACATCACATTATCCAGATCTCAGGACTGACTTTCACGACCCTGATTATGTCTACCTTGTGCGTTGGTTCGTGATTATATGTCAAGATGTTATTGAACAATACCACCTTCCCCACCCTTCTCCCTCATCTCCCTCAACAACTCTTGATCATCTTTACTGACAGGCACCCCCTCAATCTTCTTAACCCTCTTCCCCTCCCTGAAAATCATATAACCCGCCGCAGAAGCCACAATACAAGCTAACGAGATCAGCGCCCCAACCGCAGCACCAGGCCTCTCGAACCGATTGAAGCCCCACATGAATACACAAAGCAAGATCTGAAGAAACGTATTCAGGACAAACATCCAGACAACGAAATCCAACAACCAGTACTTCGAGGGGGAGGCACGCTCACCCGTAAGTGGTACATCGGGTGAGACTTTGATGGGAAGTGCGAGTGCAGACTCATTGACGCCAGCAGGGAGAGCGTCTGTAGCAGGGTGGAAATTGATATCGATGTCTTGACTCCCTTCAAGACGGAACCAATCTCGATGGATGCCAGCCAACTTTCTAAGTGCGGTCTCTTTCCTTTCCAATCGAAATTGCAAAATATACCAGAGATCTCGAAATCTCCACGGAATGAGTCCTAGACCGGTTACACAGAACAGCGCATTGAGGATTTGGGCGGTAATCTCCAACCATATCTTGGCTCCACTGTAATTGTCGTTGTAAGATGGGTGTGCCATTGCTGGTGTTGCATGAATGAGAATCAAGAAGAGCATTCCACCCCAAGCGACGATATTCAAAGCATATATCGTGAGAAGAAACCCGAATGGGGTAATAATGAACCTCCCAAATCCTCTTAGCGCAATTAAAGTTGCCTGTTGTGTTACATGCTTGGGAGGGAATTGATATCCGTTCGCGTAAGGCACAGAAGGATCATGGGGTGAGTCAACAATGGGTTCCCCAGATTTTGGAATCACGACTTCCATCTTCTCCTCCACCTTCTCTGTTATCGGTTCGACCTTTGTGGGCAAAGGAATTGACGCTGTTCGTTGCGTGTGTATTTGCATAACTTGGACATCAGTATCGCGGCGCGCCCTGCTATTTCTTCTTTGTCCAGGCCCAGACCACCCGTCGAATTCGAAGTTTCCAGTCTGGATATCATTCAACGTTGGGATATTGGAGCCCACAGATCCAAATGCATGGAACATTCCAACCGGAGGCCTCGATTGACTAAATGTTCTCTGCGCGTTGCGAACAAGTTTCCCAGCTGTCGTTTCATTTGATGCGCTCGAGTCTGCTGTTAGCAACAAATCTCCTGGTACATTTTCAGGGGCAGTTTCAATCGAGGACGACATTGAAACATAGAGCTACTGATAATTCAATGAATTATCTGACTTTTTTGCTGCCTTATGAGCTGAAATAGCAGGCGTTTGTTATCAAAAGACGATCTCCTTTGAGGCTATCCATCTCTTTATCAAAAGCCTCAGAGTTCGGGGTGGCAAGGGGTTATCATCCTCTTATTCTCGGAGTTTGATAGGCTTTGAACCTCGCCATCCTATCAGGGTCACCAAGGCCGCCAATGCAGCGAATGAGCTCTATGGAGACCGCTGATGATGCTGCACGTCACTGACTGTTGGGTACCCTGAGTGAGACGCGCTGCAAGCCACATCCAAAGGCCGATGGATTTATTGCAAGCCCATCTACAATCTAACTGAAAGACCCACTTCAGGCTGGAAGAATTGTGATCCAGTTGCTGGAGACGCAGTCATGCTGGTACCAATGTCCGTTTTTGGTCATGACCTTTGGTAATGCATCGCCATTGTAACGCAGCGAGCCTGAATCTGCATCAGGAAACGCTGTCTTCAATCAACCAGTTTTCCAACCGCAACCCCTCGCCCACGAGATTTTGCCAGGAAATACATCATCTCGGATAGCTGTGTATGTGAGATTTCAAACGTGTTCGTCGAATCACAGCCTGGCCCCGGCCGTATGCCACGATCGTCATAGTCTTTGGATTGGCGAAATATTCGTATAAGTGCTGCCTGGCCGGTTTTGTGTGCAGTATCAGAGCCGTTGTAGATTTCCCGTACATTGATATGGCCTTTGTTCATACAAGCTCCATCTCCCCACGCTCAACCTGTTCCTTGATATCCGACCATCTGGCAACGACAATCTCCCCCCGTTCAACCTCCACCTCTCCATCAGCGTCTCTCCCTCTCGACTTGACATACACGCCGCCCTCCTCTCCAATCTCCTTCGAACCCAGACCCCTCGCAAAAACGCCAGCCTCCTCGTCCGGACCGCCTATCATTGAAATACCTCCAGCAGTATCATTCAAATTCTGTAAATTCTGCGGGAAGCTACCGAGGAAACTACTCAGGTAATGTTGATGTAGCAATTGCTGATGTCGTGTCGCATACGCGATCTCAGTCTCACTAAGTCTCTCTTGTAACTCAGGCGTGGAAAGGTAGTACAGGGTATGTTTATCGATTTTCGCAATTCGTGCGCGTAGGTAGGATCGAAGGAGGAATTTCCACCGCTCAACCTCGGTTTGAATGATGATCAGACTGAAGTTTGTTTTCGGATCCATGTCGCCTGTCAATTCCTCGACCTTTTCGATTTGCGCCTTTACTCGTTCGGTCGCGCGTTCGATCAGGCCGTCTTTGGGCCATCTAGGGAGGTAAGTCGTCAGCTGTAAGGCTCAAATTGAGGATCATCGAAGTAAATATACCGTAGGAGGTCTATAGTTCCGCGTTCGTTGACCCAGGCTCTAGTTAGTGCTTGTAGGTCAGCTTGTCCTGAGGGCTGTCGATGTCCGCTGTCGTAATTTTCGTCGAATGGGTCTCGATTGAGGTCTTGGAGAATGTCTGAGATGTCCATAGTCACCTTCGAGAAAAAATCATGCGAAGCAGACCGAACGGATTTGGCACGTCGGGTATTCTGCTGTACAGCAGCGCGGTTGTTAAATTCTATGTTGGGTTTCGCGTCAGTTCAGGGTTGGGTCAGCGCGGGGAATGACCTCACGGGAAAGCTTGGTGGGGTGGGGCATCACAACTACCCTGCCACAACAATCTATGTTGCAAATAATTCAATATTCTATTGTTACAAATATATGGAGAATGAAAATTTCCGAGGAAAATTCGGGAAGCTTACCATAAAATAATTAGCCAAGTCGTTGGGAGGACTTGTCGTGGAAAGAGGAGGCCTGGCCCTGACCTGGCTATCTATTTACTACATCCGAGCTTCGCTTATCAGATTATCCTCATGCTCTCACAAAACCCCAGATGATTACAGGTAGGACCTCGCAAGCCTATCTATACGCGCTGAGACTATTACCTGTGAAAGTTTAGCAGATAGGATATAAAGTACAAAACCTCAAAAGTCTCTACTTTACCCATTAGTTGTCGAATAATAATGTTCTATAAGGTATTAAGGCCTGAAAACAAAATAACAGTTTAACAATTACACCAGGACCTATTTATATACTCGATTTCTCGATACTCTTCAGAATGATCCTGCATCTAGCAATAGCTTGAGAGGCTTCTTGTAGGTCGTTCAAGAGATCGAGCAGTTTCCTCGAATATATGCATCACCCTATAAACAACTGTTACTGAATAAGAAAGCGGTTATACCAGGTCGCTGGGGCTTTAATAACTCTCAGTGTACGGGTGATAAGATATTACAGCAATCTCCACGGATCAATCTAAGGATCTTGTATGAGGTATGATAAAACAATGCGCAGATCTGGCAAGAGAACCACAAGCCCAATACAGGTTGCGGTTTGGGAAGGTACATAACAGCAACGATAGCTTTGCTTGATCACCGGGTAGCCATGCATATTTCGAGATACGCTCCTGGAGTTCATCAGAATTATTGCGATTGGAGCAATCATCAGATCCTTCGAACCTCAACTCGTCTGGATGGGCTAGGAGCGTTCGCTTAAATACTTGGCGGTCATCACTGAACTGGAGGGGTGCTGCAAAAGAGGTTGTGTGGCGAATCTAGGATTCTGTATTCAGATGATTCACAATGTTTCAGACCTTCTGTATCATTACCTAATAAGCTGTTGAGATTCAAGGCTTCCCATTCAGTTCCCGATGACTGAGAGTAGGTTGTAGTCAAAGTGGAGTAACTACCAATTCCCCAGATTTCACGCAGACTTCCTCCTCTTGTACGTAAGAATTTCAAGATGTGTCCTGACTATTCTCCATAATTACTAACTCAATATCATTCCCTCAAACTCTGCTACAATATAATACAGATATTGCGTATCACATCCTCGCAGATACATGAGTCTCTCAGCCGTGAGAAATAATGTCTTTGGATTTTCTGTGAGGCCTCTGGATGAGCCACGAAAGACAAGCAGTAGCGGAGATGCCCATTCAGCCAAGCGGCTTAATTGACTGCGCGGCATAACCTCCCAAGTCTCAAATGAACGCCAACGTTTGTAGCTCTCTGGATCAAATACTAGTTGTTCCATAGGGCCATGGAGTGTCCAGTGGATATCTCGTAGAGATCTCTTTGCGCAAGGCCGAGCATGAGTGATTCATATTCATCGAGATGGCCAAAGATTTCGTGGACTAAATCCCATGGAAGATCAAGGAGGCGGAACACTTTGGTTTTGGAGCCTTCTTTGCTTAGTGTTATATATGCTCAGTCTGCGCTCTGACACTCACTGGGGGTTTTGCCATTCATGAGCCTTCTCTTCTTCTGATTTACTTGCTCCGAAAGCGGCTCATTGCCGAAGACCTCTTCGCTCATTCTCTTTTGACTCATGCCACCAGCAGATGCCGAGGACTGATCGCGTGTCGTGGGGTAGTTCGTATTCATCTGGATGTCTTTGCTGACTTCCATATCGGTGTCCATATTCATGTTGGAAATCGAGGAACTCATGTCGCTTTGAGGGAATGTTGATGAGAGATCACGAATTACCAACGACGGCGGTGCCGTGGGTGCGTACGGTTCCATCTTTATCAAAGGCCGCAGCGAACATGTGGGAAGCTTAGTTGCTTGTTATTCATAGCGATGTATGGGCTACGACAAAATGCCGCCAATGACCGAACATTTCGGATTCACTATCTCTATTTTATTGTATTTCCAAGCACCTGAAAACGCCACCATATGCAAAGCGCTCTATACCCGTGCCCTTTCTGACCAATAGAAGTCAGTCTTGAAATAACACGATATCACATGAGTTATAGACCTTGTGTCTGTTACTGAATGGATGCAAGTAAGTTGCCCCGACTCCAGGTCGGATTCGCAATATGCTCAATATGTCAACTTGACAGTTTGGCTTACTGTCTTTAAGACAGTACCAACATGATAACAATGACTTGTTGGCTTGAATAAGAACTCATACAAGAGGCTTGCCTGCATAGTATTGTTGTGTTTTTGTCACGAGGTGAAGACGCGTTCTGCTGCTCTATGTTGATATGAATATTGACGTCCATGAATATTTTTGGCCGACCCCGCATCCGACTGCCCCATATATCACCTCTATGTCAACACAAAACAGAACTTTCTTCTTTTCTCTCTGTCCAGATTTTTTCAATGCCAACAAACGACAAAAATGGCTTCTCAAAATCTACCCCAACAACGCTCACGATCGGTAACTTAAGTGCCACATCTCGTTGAGCTGCCACACGACATCCACCTCTCAATTCACGATTACATCGATGAACCCACGTCCATTCTACTCGGTCTGACATGCAAGCGAATGTACAACGTCCATCGAGAGAAATACAGCGGCCGACCCGTCTCCCTGAATGCCACCGTCTGCTGTCCTGAGTTGGAACATCAGGTTCGATTGTATACATATTTGGTAAACTGGTTCCCAAACCATCCCCATTATCCTTATGACCTGATGCTCATTGGATACTCGAGCAATCTTCAAGTGAACCTCTCGCCTGTGCCAGAAGTTCATGTCCCCCCTATCTAATGGTCGTTGAGCCTTCAAGATGGAATGAGGTCCAACAAAAATACAATTGCCTCGTTATGAAGGTTGAAGGAACAAAGAGCATATGGTACAAACCTGAGATATCCGTCATGCCTCGTCCTCCTAGACTGCAGCACTTTAGCATCAAATGCGCAGTGGTCGGTCGTACGCTCAAAAACAAGCAAAACCCCTAGTCGGTTGTTGCCTGGCTGGAAAATTTGCTACTGTATGTACTCTTGTCAAAAACAGTTTGAACTGAATTAACTTGAATTATCTCGTGTTTAGGTCAAAGGTCTTGGCGTGGTCGCCTATCGCTAAGAGAAACGCTCGGACTTTGCGATAAAGGGGGCCCAGTGAAGGTGACAAGATGATGGTGTTGCAGGGGGCAAAATGTATGGATTTCGTGGGGAAGTGATTGAAGGAAGAGTATGATAACATCAGTCGGATGCTCCGTTGTTGCGATGTATATCGTGAGTCTTGACTACGGACTTGATACTTTCCGCCCAGCCAGATCTAATACAACTCATTCACCAATTATGAAATTGGCCAATTGTAACACCGCTTCAGTGACTTTCGGTGACATTCTAATCATTCTCAAGATTTTGATTGCTGTATTTGAATTCTTCTACGGTGTTGTTAATCGATGTACTCCATAAAGTATCTGATTTTGAGAGTCACAGACCAGGTATCCTCTTAAATTTCAGAATGAACTTCCACTTATACATAACAAACTTGCGTCCCATCCTTATTTGCTTCATTATATTCAGTCTGCAAACAAGCAACCTTGCCAGCCTACGGCGGTAGTTCTCTCCCAAGCGCCCTCCACCATGCGGATACTAAGTCGGAATCACGTCCCATGTTACGAAAAGGCGGGAGTCTATCGGCAAGTGGATCTCCTCCAACTCCGTTTTGCCATTTCTGAACTACAGGCCCATATGTAGGTTTGATATCTTTGTCTTGATTCCAACCTATGAAAACAGCTTAATTTAAATTAGTATTATTTTACGTATCAGTAGGACAGTGTTGGGCTTACAAAGGGCGAAAAGGGTATAGCTGTCGGAATTATGTATCTATAGACTTGAAGTTAATTTTGTCATTTTTGCTAATAATAGCGAGTTTCGAGACAAATAGAGAATACTAACAGCATAAAACGGACCATCTTTTAGTTGAGCTAAGGTAAGGCATCTCTGCGGGCCGTATGCCACAAGTGTCGCCAACTTGGTTTCATCGGTCTCTTGTAAAGATTCTTTTACAAAATCCTATGATATGGGATTAGTTTCAAATATAGAATGGGCGGGAAAAATGCTGAGCATACATCATCTGCGAACCCCGTAGCGGCTGGCCAAAGCAGCGTGTCTACAACACTACCGCGCAAATTTTGGGCTACTATATATTAGTAGACCCTCCTAAAATTCATACCCGATTGAAACTCACTAAACTTTTCTCCTCCTGGGATGACCGCGTGAAAGAATTTGGAATCTCCAACAAAATGAACTAGTTCATGGAAAAGAAGAATCTGTCTCGTACTCGTCATTGTAATTAATTGTTGGAAGTCTGGATTCCCAAGAGGTAATTCAAGTTCTAAGAACGATGGATAAGTCCTAAACTTGTCTTTGTAAAGTCTTACTTCAGGACTGCCTCTAACAACCGTATACGCCCCGTCAAACTTTTTGACGCGTTCTTGCTCTTCCGGGTTCCCCGAAAGATCGAGTAATATTATTTTGAGTTTAAACATACTCTCGGGGTCTTCTCTAATGTTGGCCAACCGAGCGTAGACATCTTATTATAGTTTGTAGTTAATATATAGGGTCAAAAAGAAAGATATGATGGGGACTAACACATGACGTTCATGTAATAATCTGAACTGCCGAACCATTGAAGGAACAGAGAATGTTCAGGACTGATACTATCTAAAACTAAATAAGCCATCTCCGCGACTTGGTCGATATAGCGTTCTATGTCGTCGGCAATTATAGGAGCCAGGGGCTGAGTTCCCATGATCGGGAAGCCAATAATTTCTAACTCTGCTCTTTTATTAAGAGACCTCGGCAATTGTCGGGGGAAAACATTTCGCGCGAAGGATAAGTAAAGGAGGCAAATCGATAGTGTCGCTCGAATATGATGCATTTCTGGAAGCATCAACGCTTGGGAAGCATGGGGGTCCAATTGGCGGCCAGGAAAAAAGATGACTATCGACCCGCTGCTATATGAGGAGGGGAAAGTAGTTTGGAGGTTAAAATAAATTCGGCTTTGGCTCCAGGATCACCAAAAATCTAACAGTCTGTTAGATTTTAGCTATAACGATAGTAAAGCGAAGGAATCATTGACGTAGCACTGTAGTTCTGGTCAAGACTCAAACATCACATAGCTTATATAACAGATGACGTTATTTTAGGAAATCTATAATAGAATTGGCAGATCTTGGGAATAAATGAAAATCAAATACATTAGTTAGATATTGATTAGATCAATGTAATAATTTAGTAAACAGCCTAGGCAGCTCGGGTCGTTCCCCTTTTGTGAATTTCCGATATACTTCCACTTAGATTAGAGAATCTAATTCGCTTGGGAGGCTATAATATAGGTTTATACCCGTTCACGTGCCGTTATATAACAATTGCGAGGGGAACGACCCAAGCTGTCCAGTCCTTTTAAATAGCTCGGGTAGGCAGGCATACCCTGGACGGCTCCAGCAATACCATAATAAGTATGGAGGCTTAGACGGTAAACAGCACAGGTCGCCCGCCGTTGTTTATTTCCAAAATACCTCAACATAATTCTACAGTCTAATTGGCTTAGAAGTCTATGACGTAGGGTGAAATCCTTTCTATAGGAATAACATCGGACAATCCACTCTAAATACGGAACGAATATAGGTTGATACAATTCACTAGTTTTTAATAGATTTATACAAATTCTCTCCTGTTGCTAGATGGTTAGCATTTTGTGCATCCGATGCGTTCGCGCTCTTTAAGTCATATCCTCGTATACAAGGAGTACCCGAGTAAAGAGATGCGAGCTATCTGTACTGGGACTTCCCCCGCTGGTGTTTGCGTAGACAGAAAATGGTAAGTAAATAAGAGATTCACTTTGTACAAAGAGGCACTGGTCTGAATTCTCAGCAGATCCTCGACTATCATTGCTACAAAGCATAGAAAATAGTTGGCTGATACGTCCACCATTTCTGCTGCTTCACGGTGCCAATCCACCGCAGAGTCTCGTAAAATACATAGGGCGTCTATTCGAAACTATCCAAGACCAAGCTTCTGCTTGACGAACACTGCATCTCGTATTGGATGGTTCTAGATAGCCGAGCGTGACATATTCCAGATTGCAGTTCTTCCAAGTTGGACAGAGTCAATTTAAGGGAGTTTTTCCCTCAAAGTATTTGATCCCAGAAAAGCTCCCATCAACCGAAACGACTCTCAGTTTCAAATCGCCACTTATACCCCCACCGTCAATCGGCGTCTTTGGTAACTTTTGGTGGAATCCTAAAGTACGGCAACATCCTGAATGAGTTTCTGTTGAAGTTTCTCGCCAATCCGAGGCAAGTTGTAGAAACGAAGAAAAAGTCGACAAAGCGCGCGACGCATCTACATCTGCCGAACGGAGAACATCTCCTACTGCTCCTTCGTTCTTTGAGTTGTTGCCATTGTTTTCTGATCTGTAGGCTGGGAGGATTTGAATTCTCTTCTCTGGAGGGGAAGGAGGCCAGATCTGTGCACCAAAACTCTCTCGCAGACCTCCATCTGGCACTAAAAATAACCTTTGCATTCTCAACGGCCCTCATTACGTCAACATCACGCTGTGCGTTCATTCGTTCAATGAAGTGAATAAAGTAGCGACATACAAATGCCACTCTTCTTCAACTTGTAGAATAGAAAGCTCCAACTGGGTGTTGTGTGTGTACCAGGGTACTCGAACAGTAGTAAATATAGAACACAACCCCATCGCTCCCGCTCTTCTTCTTTTCCCTCCCGTCGCAACGAGAATGTTGGCACTCGCTTCCCTGATATACATTACTCTGAACATGAACATAGATTACCGAAAATCGCACTCAATCACCAACGATCAAAAAATGTAATGGAATGGTATCATGAACTTCCAATTGATTCAAATATCTTAACACCTAATCTCAAACAATCTAATCTTCCCCTGCTCATTCGCCACAGCCAACATATCACTCTGCGGACTAAATGCCACAGCAGTAATCCTCCCCAGGGGCGTCTGACTAGTCGGCCAATTCTTGTAAACCGTGCAACTGGGCAGATGCACCAAACGCAGCGCATCCTTCTTCCACTTCGTGCTGAACACCAAGATCTGCCCGTCAGCGCTGATTTCCAAGTTGCTCGTCGGTCGGGTAAACTGCTCGAATGTTTTGGTAGGTGTCGGTCTTTCTGGGATGCTGATTTTGTTCTTGGGTGTGATGAAGGCGCGTCGGTCGTAGATGTTCACGATTCCACTCTGGGAACCGATTACGATCCATCTATCACCGCCTAAAGGCCCTGGGCCACTTTTCCCACCGAGTGTCATAACAGTAGGGCCAAACCCATCATCAGTCCATTTAGCAATAAATGATTTTGCTTCAACGCTCCACTCTCCGACATCTCCTCCTTTCCCAATAATTGTTAATCCCTTCCCGTCGCTCCACCATGCAAAATCTGCGATTCCGTTCTGGCCATCTATTCGTGCTGTAGCAATCCATTGTGTGGTCGAAGAATGCAAAATATTGATGACTCCGCCGCCCTTCTTCGCCGACCCGATGATAGCCATATACTGTCCGCATGGACTAAGTTTGAATTTCTCCATACTCTTTTGCTCTTCCTTCTGCCCATAGACTCTAGTCACTTTTTGAACCGTCCCTGAAGGCATATCCCATGTGTGAAAGTAACGTCTGCGGCCCGAAAAGAAGATTTTGTCTCCTTTGGGATGGAGGAAGGTTGAAGTGTGCAATGGTGTATTTCGAATATGTACCGAAGTGAGAAGAGGATTTGGGGTGGGCAGAGCGGTAGGCGCAACGTGATGGAGGTAGAGGGTCGACGCTGGACCAGAGGAGAGAATGACAGGGAATTCGGGGTGGAATGAGAGAGAAGATATCGACGATGGCTGAACAAGGGAGACATCTCGTGTGCGTTGAATATCAAGAACTCCTGGTCGTAATTTGGGCTTCTTGTTTGTGCTATTTGGTGTTCTCGTCAGAGCTCCAGCATCCTGCAGCAACCTTGCTAACGGAAGTGTTGAAAGATCTACATCATCCAAGTCCATATCATTCGAAGACATCGAAGAATCGGAGGCGGCTGAAGATCTGCGACGCCGTTTTGCTGGTCGTGAAGCATCCTTTGCCCATTCCGGTATAGGATTTATTCGCTCGAATTGCATTCGCAAGCGTCGGGTATATTCTCCTCCACTGATCATATCCTCCGCCTCATTGACCCGAAGTTTTCGAAGACGAGTATTGCCCGCAAGAGAAATTGTCAGGCGATCGTCATCACTGTCCTCCCAAGCGGGTGCTTCTTCTTCTTCTCCATGATCCACTGGTTTATGCGCAATTAAAGCAGTCGAGTCGATATTTGATGGGCCGTCGTCAAGGAAGAATAGCTGTAAAAAGGTTAGCATTTTTTCAACTAATAGATTGCGCAGAATCATTCTTACATCTGCATCATCCACATCTTCCAAACCGCCCTCCGCCGCTTCGTCTTCTCCTGAGGGTCCCACATCACTGTCGGAATCATTTCCACCATGCGACGCACTCTGAAGTAATTGCGCCTTAAATGCGCCTCCATCTCCAAGCACCAGCCGGTCCAACTCTTCCTCCTCCTCATCCTTATCCATTATCTCATCGCTGTCATTGTCGCTTCCCGAGCGGAAACTTTCTTTTTCAAAAGCTTGCGCAGAATTTTCGGCGTGTCTATCTGCAGACTTTTTGCCCAGGGAGAGCTTCTTGGACCGTTGGCGGGGCATATTGGTGGTGTTGAGAAAGACAATGGTTGGTAAAGTTCTCCCAACTTTTTTCTGGACTGGTCAAATTTTGCAGGGATCTTGATCTCGTTAGGTGGGTAATCTTTGGCTTAGTCATCATGCCCCTCACCTCAGTGTTTTGTGTCTAGCCCATTCTAAAGCCATAGTGAAACCTTAATTATCAAATCTCGAGGTAAATTAATTCAACTGTCCTACTATCAGAACGTTGAAATTATTTCCCCTCCAAACCAAAACTCATATGAAAGTTAGCTATGAACCCAAATCCAGTGTCGTCCTCAAGCGAGCCCATCTCCTGCCGGAGTTCCGCTCTAAAAACTATAAGAAAATAATTATAAGATGAGGAATTCGAAAGGACTAGCTCGCCCTCAAGCTAGCAGGTCTTGGTATTTTCCATTCCAAGCATATCCGCCAGGGAACGGGTTTGTCAGTATGATAGAAAGCTTCAATTCTTTCCTTTCTAATCTGAACGCTGCGAGAAAGAAAGGTCTATGTCAGAAGTATCTAAAAAGTTTCAAAAAGCCTCCCATCTATGCATTGTGACGAACTCTCAAAACTCCACGCCCAATCAAATAGCCACCCATGAGCCCACAAAGAAGGGCAAGAACACCGCAAAGTTATCGTTCCATCGTCAAGGTATGAGTCATTAATGTTCTTGTTTCAGTTGCCATGTTGTTCGACCCCAAAACAGGTTCGAACAGCAGCCCCAAATCGTTCAATAGCCTCGGCCATCTTCTCTTCGGTAGCAGCAGCAAAGGTAGCTCTGAAGAACAGTTCTTTGGCCACGAAGCCACTGCGTTCAGCTGTGAACCATGAGCCTCTGGAAATGAGAACGCCATTTTCGATCGCGACAAGGAAGACTTGTTCTTCAATCTCGGCAATGGAAAGTGGTGTTGCGGTCTTAGCCGAGGGATGGAGTGTATGGTCGACTTTTAGCCAGAGCTATGATAGAAGGGTTTGTAAGTATAAGGAGCGAGTGATATGATTTGAGAATTTGGACTTACAAACATGCCTGCAGCTGGTGGATTCCAGCTAACGATATTCTTAGGCAAAAACTTCTCGCATGCATGAAGGATGGCATCTCGTCGGCTAGTGTATTGAAGTCGCAAATTAATCAACCATCCGAGATAACCAGCATGGCCCCAACTTTCATCAAGCATCTTGTACAGGAACACTTGTGAGAGCCCACTTGGGTTTTGAACTCCGCACTCATTATGTCTAATGAATCGTTCCACAATCTGCTCGGATGCGGTGATCCAGCCCACACGTGTGCCTGGGGCGATGACTTTGGAGAAGGAATCCATACGCATGACTCGTCCATCAATATCCATACTTAAGTAAGTAGGAATCAGTGCCTTGAGGAACTCCTCATTGTTTTTTGGGGGTGGAACTGCCGGGCTATCGGGACCTGTGTAGGGTTGCATCTGCAGGAAATAATATGGTTCATCTTCGAAAATATAGCAATCGTGCTTCTGTGCTACTTTGTAAATGGCGTGGCGTCGTGCTGTTCCTTGTGTTGCACCAGTCGGATTTTGTCCCGATGGGACGGTGTAGAGAACACGAGGTTTGCGAGCACCTCTAGCGTTGACATCCCAATTAGTCAGAACCTCATCCATAGATTCGGGTAAAAGTCCTTCGGCATCCATCTTGACAGCGGCAAATTTGATACCGAGAGGCAGTGCTGTCTCGACAGCGGACGCAAAGGTATATTCTTCAGAAAGAACATAGTCACCTCTTTCGCAAAAGATTCGTAATGCTTGCTCTAATGCGGACGTATTGCCTACCGTAAGAGCACAGTGCCAATCTGCGTAAGGGGGCTTACACACGATCTCAGTATGTTCGGTAACAAATCGAATGAGCTGTGCCGAGCCAGAACCCAATCCGTAATTGAGGGCAATAGAGAGATCATATGAACTTCTACCTTCCGAGACATCATACTTGCCAGCTTTGACCACGGTGCCGGACGCCTTCGTCTCTTCTTCGGTAAATTGGGGCGGTGAGGGAACCTTGAAGGTCAGTCCTTCAATTGGGAAGTATTCGGGACATGGCAGACCACCCCCAAGGGAGATAAGACCTGGATTGTTCAGAAACTTGGCTGCAGCCTTGAGGCTAGAGGGCTGTCTTGACTTGGACTCAAGGCTGATATAATCTGTGCAGGTCAGTATCATTCATTGTAAAAGTGTGGGTATTTGCGTCTGACTCACGATCCCATCTCTTTGCTTTAGGCTTGTTGCCCAAGAACTAAAGGTTTTAATTAGTTATGTAGAGATTGCAGTAAACTTAGGGCAACTTACCGGATTCTTGTAAAAGTCGCTAGTGGTATAGGCAGCAGTTCCCCCTACAAATTTTGCACTCTTCTCACGTCTTGCGGCTACACTCTCGGCAGTCAAAGGCTCTGTAACGCTGATTGCTTGAGTATCGGTAACTGCCTCAATACCAATTGCATAAGGGGGAGCCATGATAGAAGTTTGAAGGTGAACTAATGGGTCCTTGAAGTTGCAGAAGTAGAGGAGAAATAAAGTGAGATATGAGAGAGGCTGTAAAGACTCACGGTACAATGACTATACCGATTGTTGCTGGCACCTGACATGCAGGGGGCCGGGGGGTTGCAATTGGTCAAACGAGAAGGGCTAACGGTAACAAATAGGGTTGTGACCGTAGGTAACAGATGACGGACGATGCGATGCTCAAGCAGTCAGACTTGGATTGTGCGGAAAGTAAAAGATGTCAAATTGACTTGTCACTTGGAGGGATTTGAGGGCGTGAAACGTGCAAACGGTTTTAGTATTCTCGCTCCAAGGAAGTTCGTGGTGACTTTGGTAGTCACAGTACAGTCATAATTGGCTTTGTAGATTTGAAGTGGCTCGAGAGTGGCTACGCTATCCTACGCCAAGGTCTACGTTGCTTGTCTAGGTAGTGCCGTTAATAGGCGGCCCTCTCTGATTCGCTTAATGCTACGGGAGAGCCACTGAGCTGCAGGCCTGGGGTCCTTATCGCTTCACGTGATCTCTGACAACAACGAACAGGTCCACGTGACGTGTATCCTGAAGTTACCTACCTAGGTATCCCATATGGGTACTTGTACCGTTTAAATTCGTATCTCCTACACCACCTGAAAGAGATCGGATGCAGGTTAAGGACATGCTAACCTTAGTAGAAAAACGATATGTAGGATAGTAGTTGCGAAGGAAGTAAAGAGCGCGAAATTTAGCTTATAAAAGTATATATATTAGTCCTTGAACTAGTATAATAGCCCTTAATTTATATTTCCTCAAGTACTTATTATCATTATCCTCGGTAGTCCTTAATATAGTATACGGTATCCTTAGTGACCTCTGGAGTTATTAGGTTCTTAACTTGTGTCCTTTAAGTCCTTGCGTAAAAGAGAGTGGTCAAAGGAGGGAATTCCTCTTTACAAGGTATCGTATCTGTGGGAAGATCACCAGAAAATAATATGCAATACAAAGTAGATGTGGTCAAAAGGTGTTTTTATTAAGTAGGTAGCCAGCTAGGAGTTCAGGCCTCTCAAATAGTCCTTAAGTACGCTAGTCCTGCTGGTATTCACTGTACCCCACGCCACCTGCAGCAACAAATGCTGCATACTCCTCTTCAGAATTGATAAATTATTCATCATCATCATTACCCGAGCCCTCGTTCTCCACCCCACTCATAATCTCATCGTCATCGCCCTCGTCCTCATCCTTTGGAGTTGGTGGACGTGGCTCCCCGGGCTCTGGAAACAAACCCGGAAACGGAATATTGTCATCAGGCTCTTTGAAGTCAAATATGGAGACAACTAAGCCTTTCCGTTTTCTCCTAACACTGTAGTTGACCTTCAACTTATCGGGGCCTGATGGATATTCCATGGCATAATACCCGGTCCTATTTGCGTTGACTTCCCATTTTCTGTCTCTCTCCTTTTTTCTTCTCCAATTTCTGACATGAGCCACCTCATATTCTGCCAAACTCTCCTCTCCCTCATTACGTCTGATGTCCCCTCATTACGTCTGATGTCCTACAGACATAGTCTCCCAGTTAGTCTTGTATTCAAAAACGATTCAAAAAGAATTTAACATAGAGTATAGGTGGTCAAAGCTAGCTTGGCTTGTCATTTCCACAAATAACAACTTACCCATTCATTACTTTGTTTGGCCTTCCCCTTGTCATCCTCAGTTGTAAAGCCATCAAATAAGTTGTATGTGGCGTTTTCATCAAGCCCTGGTGTGAACTCCTGGGTGATACCAGCTTCTTTATGCATGTTATATGGACTACCATCCTTAATAGGACATGGTTGTTTGGCGTCGTAGAACTCAGTGCCCCATTCTTCTAGAATACATTTATGATGTAAGGTGTGACCAGTTTGACAAGAGAGCTAGCTGTGCGAGGAGATCACCCACGCCAATATCCATCCAACATATAATACATCTTGGAGTGTCATTGTCAGTGTTCCAAAGTAATAGAAGGACTTTGCTTGGTGCGTGCAGTCCAATTGGATGGATAGGAAAGAGACCCTTGAAGATGTTTTCTCTTCGTGATGGACTGTCTTTTGAAATACCCCATTGCGTAAGTCCAGCGAGATAAGTGATCTAGAAAGTTTGAATGTTAGTATTTTCCTGGTGAAATGCTCATCAACTAGAAGAATCGATTGTAGATATAAGTAGTACAGTTTTGGACTCCGTGTTGATTTGTAGTGGAGAAGTTGAAAGCTTTTATACCCACCTGCCAGTAAAAATCGTCAATTGCCTGTCGGTAGTCTCTGTGCTGTCCATCATCTCTTGTGTCAAAGACTATAGCAGTATGTTAAAAACCAATTCCAAAGTCGTATACTCATTACCTAAAACCCCACCAACACAACTACAGAAAAGGGCGTAATTGATACGTACCATAATAAAGTTGTTTAATTGGCTTCCTGCCACTCCAGTCCCTTAGAAGAAGATTGTTTCTTCTTAGCAAATTTAACTCTTCCATCCTTTCGAGTCCCTTTACAAAATTGCCATTATCATTTATGCTCTGCCAGTCGAAGTGCGACCACCAATTCCCACCAGTGGGTCCGTAGGGCTCTTTGTCGTTCTCGAGAAGCTTGTACATTTGCCACCACTCATCCTTCAGAACAATCTTTCTTTCCTATTGGAGATCTAGGAGTCAGTACTGTCACGTTCAGCGACGAGGTAGAATTTCAAGATGGATTTGAGAGCAGCAAGGATTTCTAAGGTGGAAGTTTTGTCGCGGTTCCTCAACCCAGTCTAAAGGGAAGAAAGATAATTGGAGAAACACGCACCAGTAAGACGCCCTCAACATGCGTTTTTCCCATTCGCTCTTGAACTTCATCGGCGACGAGGTGGAGATCGGTCCACAGCCTTTAAGTGACTTATAGTCAGCTCTTTCTCACTTCGTTTTTATGCTTTTTGCGTAATTTACTTACTCCAATCTTCGTTCATGGGGATCATCTATGAATGCCTACAAAATAAACATCAGTATCAAGATCATCCAGGGAAAATGGACTTCCGTATCTTTCCAGGATTCAAGGGAATGATGACAGACATCTGAAATAGCACCTTGAATGAGAGTCTCGAGCAATTCTGACGGTGGTTCATCTTCATCGTTACTCAATCCATAATTTGATGTTTTCTCTCGGTTTTTGGCGTCTAGGCGAGCATGAAACGCCTCTACAAATCTTTCGAGTGTCTTACACGCGTGAACAAGTTTAGGCCAGATCTGGATTTCAGGATCATTCCGTGGAGAATACCAAGGGGTTTGTTTTGTCACTTCGCGATAGTATCTGTTAATAGCAATATTTATCATCCATGTAAGGTGCGCCTTGCCAAATTCATTTTCGCCTAAACTTAGGGAGCGATAGTGAAGAAGACGTATCCAAACCCGGTAGAGGACCCAAGCAATTTTCAGGTCCTTATCTTTGATACCAAGATCCTCAAGTCCTTCTTCGGCTGCCCTGATTAGTCTTGCCAGCTCCAGATTGCCTGGATCTGCAAAGCGGCGGGACAATGTTAGGAAGTCGATAAGTCTTAGTCGACGTGCTAGAACCGTGCGTGAATTATAGCTGAGTTCTTTACCATCAGCTTCCCACTTCTGTAAATATTTGAAAAAGTGCAGAACTATGGGTTTTCCTAGGGCTGCTACCGAGGTGGGGTTTCTGGTCCATGTCCCTCTATCCTATGTGACAACATCAATACATAACACGATCATACCGAGCTAGGCGGAAATAGGCAACCCTAGATGATTACTCACACTTGGATAATTTTCGAATCTCCCATCAAAGTCACCCTCTTCTCCCTTCACAGTACCGTTTGCTGTAACCCAGGGATCCTTAGGATTCATAGACTGCTTTTCACAGATTTCGCTGAGTAATTGAAGCACCATTCCATATTCCATGTCAGATCTATGCCAGTGCCCTTCTTTTTCCGGCTTTGAGTCAAATTTAAAAGCTGTTTCTAAAAATCTCTTCTCTGCCAACAAGTCTTCTTGCTGAAGATGGCGTAGCTTGTTCTGCCTCGAATCTAGATACGCATCCGCTGACAGAATAGCGAAAAAAGGCATATCGTCGTCAAAGTCAGGCATATCTTCGCCACTGTAGATCTGAGGAGGAAGGAAGTCGTCAGGGCCTAAGGGAATCTCATCGTCGTCTCCTATCCCCATCCAATCAATCCCTGGACCGTATCCTGGGATTGGGGGATTGGCTCCATCTGGGTCGTCCGCCATAATTTCGAGTACGCTGTAGCACGAGCGAATGCAATTCTTGCGTTTCAATTGTCGATTGGAAATTTTAAAATAAGGTAAGGTGTAATTCTGTCAATAACAAAAATCCTATATCTTTTCACGCTGAGGTGGTGATTCTAGGAAGGTTCTTTGTTTCAATTTTAGTAAACTACATCCGGCAATTGCGCTTCACAATGCGAACCTTTTCGCTTTGTACTCTATGCCTTGTCATCCAGCATGGTTGCAGCAAGCAAATAAAAGAACGAAGAAAATCATGTTGGAATTGTCTCAACTGCTTAAACTTCATTTGCATGGTACTTAATTTTTCTCAATGATAGTTTCACAAATCAACTTCCTCAGAACAATACAACACATTAATATGATTAGAATGTCTTTACATAACACTGATATAAGCATTTGTACCTCAAAAAAATCCGCAATATAATATCTTACAACATCATCCTCTAGTTTATTTTCTAACCGGAAAAAGCTCCTAGATCATACTGAAAAACGAAAAGAGAGTGCCAAGTTCAGCTGAACAGGTTCATCACATAACACATGAGAACCAATAACAATTTGTACTGTGATGTAAACAAATGCTTCAAACGCCAGAGACGAGTGTCTTTCTTCGCTCAATGTAGGGAACCGCTCACAAAGACTGTATCCTATCTTTGATACCAGATCTAATCTATGTAACTTGAACTCCTTTTCCAGCGTTTTCTCTGTGTATCTTACCAATTCCTCCAGTCTGGGGGAAAATCATGCGACATGGAAAAGGATCGTGAAAATTCGACATTCGAAGGTGGCGAGGAGCAGCAAGCCAAGAGGGCTCAACATGGTCCCATGCCCAGCCGGCCATCAATTACGTCGGATTCCAACTCATCGCCAGAAAAGGAGAAACATGATGATGAAAAGAGCCATTCAAGTCTTCGAGGGGTTGAAAGGTTGCTAGGAAGGGAGGCTTCCATTAGCAGAGAACAGCCAGAAATCGACAAGAGCAACGAGGATGGGCAATCAGAAGATAGACAAGAGGAAGGAGTTTCTCTGCATCAGTCAGAAGCAATTCGGCAATATACCCCTGAGCTTCAACAGGAAGAAATAGCGCATCGAAACCCATCTCAGCAAGAGATCCAATTCGTCCTACAACCCAGAGTGTTTCGTATCCGGCCCAGGATATATCAATGCATTAGGCGCACGTGGTTGGGGAAACGGTGCCGGGTCAAGACAAAGAGTTGGGATAGGAAATGTTGGCGGCATTAGGAAGACATGTATCCTGCGTAGGCTAGCTTGTAAGGCCCTGTGTCAGTGACTACAGTAGTGTGCAAATTGTGCGGGTTAGTCTGGAAGAATACCACGAATTTTGTGGAGACTATGGGTGAGGGACGCGGTCATTAGTTTGTACACATCTAGCTTAGAATAATATCATTCTGAAAACTTCGCGCAACTGAAGTAGTCATATATCTTAAGATACCCGGGGCTATTGTACACTCGACCAAAGCTTCTTGACAATTCGCATCAAAACGATAGATCCAGAGCCAAATTGAATTCATGACACTATTCGTTTCATGTAACATCCCATCTCCTCGAAATAGAAGAGGGATAAATTCGTTGGCCATAAAATCACAGGAAAACTTGCCAAAGCGTTTTTGAGCACTGGGAACTCTGCTTTTCACTTCACAGGCTGTCATGATTCCCGAAAGCTTGTGACGAACCCTCTCTGCTGACTCTAAGAAATCTTCCACCAGTTCTCGTTGGTTGTAGGCTAGGAAAAGATAATAAAAAGCAGGGCAGAGTTGCTTTACAAGATATCATGTTTTAGAGGACATACCGGTAGTTTATATTGGTCCTGGGACAGATATTTTATTTAAAAAATGAGATTTTGTAATCTAATAAATACAGTAGTCTGATTTTGCCAATATGCTTTCTCGCGGGAACCACTTCAAGCACTTGTTTGTCGAGTGTGAAAAGCAAAAGTGCACGAGAGTTGCAAAGACAAGCCAATCGGCAAGAATAGATGAATTGTCCCGGAGCACCTTCCTGAGGTGTGTAAGCTGCATCACTCACCTGTTACAGCATTTCAAGCAATCAAATACCGAACGCTGAGGATCGTGAGCGCAATGAGTTTTCATTCTTTACATTTTTCTATCTACCTTGTGTTTTAAAGACACGCCATTGCGTATCGACCCCCAGCATAGTTCATTTACATGCAAGCAGCGCCGTCGATACCCAACACCTTTCCGTTGATCCACTCACCATCCTGACTGGCAAGGAAGCAGACGACTCGAGCAATATCGATTGGGAGACCGACACGGTGAAGTGGGGACCATGTGGCAGCGTACTATTGAATGGTTAGTTTGGATTCAGGATATGGAAGTATATTACATACCTCATCGACTTGCTCATCGTTCAAGTTGGCTCCATTTGGAATGTACTCTCGGCAGACCTTGTGGTACATGTCGGTCTTGATTCCACCTGGTGCGATGCAGTTGACAGTGATCTTCTTGTCACCCATATCTACCTATCTTTAGTGACAGTATCACATGGGGATTAGGACTTATACATACCAATAGCCATGCATCGAACGAATGTCTCAATAGCACCCTTGCTTCCAGAGTACAAAGTGTGCTTTGGAACACCCTTGGCCTGACCGGTGATACTACCCATCATGATCAAACGACCACCAACAGACAAATTTCTGTAAGCTTCTCTAGCGACGAAGAACTGTCCTCGCGTGTTGATGTTCATGACACGATCATACTCCTCCTCCTCAACATCACCAATGTGTCCAAAAGAGACAACACCAGAGTTCGAGCAGACAATATTGAGCTCGCCAAAGTGTGCAACAGCCTGATCGAACAAGCTGACAATCTCCTTGACGACAGAGACATTGGCCTTGATGGCGATGGCGTCGCTTCCGGTCTTCTTGATCATAGCGACGGCTTCCTCAGCGGACTCGGAGCTGTTGGCGTAGTTGACAACGACTTTTGCGCCTCGGCGTCCCAACTCGATGGCCATCTCACGACCGATACCACGGCCTTAGATCGATTAGAAATTGTGTTGCGTATGGAGTGTTTTCGCTTACCGGCGCCAGTGACCAAAGCAACCTTTCCCTTCAAGCTAGCACTCTCAATCCCCAAAGGACCGACGACATCAGCAACACCTCGGGTAGCGCCCGTCTCAGTTCCATTTGAAGCAACCATTTTGAAGGATTATATGAGGATGAAATTTGGATTCGATTTGTAGTAGTTTTTTTTGAGTTGATACTGGAAGGAGAATTCGAAAGAGGAAACAGAAAAGCACCCAGTATATATACCAGAGACTAATTCACCAGGTCCGGTCATTTCGGGCTTTCCATCCCTCAGCTGTACGGACTTGGTATCCCTTACTTGGGTATGGATGGTGTTGAGCTGGCGGTGCTGAGGTCTTTTTCCCCACCTCCGGTCCGTCCGGTCCGCACATGTTCATACCTCTTTCTTTGATCCTTCAATTTTCTAATTATACAATATTGAATTACTTCACGCAAGACTTGTTCTTATCTTGTTGCTTTTCTTGATCATCATCCTGCGGTGGTGGCTGAGGAAAGGTATGGTGTTTCCTCAACGAGAGCGTGAAAAGTTCGCAGCAGAGTTATCCCCATCTTCCATCATATGAATGTCTTGTCTTAAAAGAAATGGAGGTCTTTGGTATCGAGTCAGCTGCAAAAATAGCGTTGTTTTAGTTTGTTACAGTATTGCACCCCATGTGATCTTTTTCATCTGTTTTTTTCCCCCATAGCTGAACTATTTCGTTCACACTTCTACTGGGCTTTCTTCAGCTGTCAATCCCGGATTGAAGAGTTCCCGAGTCAATCTGTCTGTTTCTTCCCGTTGAGTTGGTTGTTTCAAAATGTCTCGAACAGTTTGTCTTTCACTTCAATGAGATCTCGCCTCGAAACTACTACTGTATACGATTGCATCTTGTGCTAGTTTACAGTATGGTCATTCCTTACCCGAATAGGTCACAAAATCCAGCAAAATTGCAGATCTTCGCATGCAAGAATTATTTCGCGGCCGTTGCTTCGTTTTCGTTCTTTCTGACCATAAAACTTTCCTTGTTTTTCTAAGATCGCCGTTACAGGCTGGAGACATCATGTTTTTTCGATACTCGAAATATCATGTGATATTATCCATGATTTGGAAGCTTCGCGATCGATGATTATTATACCATTCTCCCAGTGAACAAGAGAAGTGGCCGAGATTCATTTTTTGATTATTAGCGTAAGTTAATTCTACGTGCTAAAATGTTTAAATATCTAGAAAAGATTATTTTTATTATCCTATCGTTTTCGATAAATCGTTTTAACTGTTCTAAATAAATAACATAATGAAATGGTTTTTAGTTAAGTTAGGCTTAGATAAAAGAGGTCTCTGCCACTTTTCTTGTCCACCGGCAGACCATCATGAAGGATGCCTGGAGTGCAAATAGAACCTTTAGATGTATATCAAAGTTCGGGGGTCCATCTGTGGGATAACGACGAGAATTATTCCAGAGGTTGAAAGGTTCAAATACTAATTCTTATAGCTCCCCAATTTCCATATCAACATATCCATTCAATCTTAACCCCCTCAAAACCCACACTCAAACTCATCATCCTCACATCACTCCTCACAACCACCATGCCCTCCCATCAACCCCCCCGTAATCGGAAGCCAACAGCCGACCCCCTCCCCCCATCCATCCAAGCAACCCCGCACATCCCACCACACCTGCAAAAGGCTATCAAAGCCGCATCGGAAAATGGGATACTCCAGTAGGATACCACCTCACAATCTATAGTTGGGGTTCTAGTATCCAACTGGAAAGCCAACTCAATGCTGCCTACCCCTGGACCTGCGGCTGACTGCAGGAACGTTGAAAATGTAATATTTTTATCCACCCTGCCCACCTCTGAAGCACATAGCTAGGTATGTTAAAGCTCGGAAGTTCGCAAGTTTGAAGCATTGGATTTCACGACGTTGGTTGTTTTCTAGATTTTGAATTTTTTGTCTTTGTCTCTCTCGGTGTCAGATTGAGTACAAGTAGTTAAAAGAAAAGGGAGGGAACATTATTGAAAATATGGAAGAATACGACCTAATAATCATCGGAGCCGGTACCTTTCCCTCCTCCCTCCTCCCTTCCCCCCAAACCCCAAACTCCCACTCACTAAAAAACCCCCAGGACCCTCCGGCCTCCCCCTCGCAAAAACCCACCTCCAGCTCTCCCCCAACTCCGCCCTCCTCATCCTCGAAGCCCAGCAGTCAGTAGGCGGCACCTGGGCAAAAGAACGCACGTACCCAGGTCTCATATCCAACAACCTGCACCCTCTGTTTGAGTACTCTGATTTCCCGATGAGTGAGGAGCGATTCGGGACGCGGAAGGGGGAGCATATTGAGGGAGCGGTGTTGAGTGAGTATTTTCATGCGTATGCGATGCATTTTGGGGTTTTGGGGTGTGTGAGGTTTGGGGCGAGGGTGGGGAGTTGTGAGATGGGGGGTAGGGGGTGGGTTGTTAGGTATGTGGTTGAGGGGGAGGGGAAGGGGGAAAGGGTGGTGAGGGGGAGGAAGTTGGTTTGTGCTATGGGGAGTACGAGTCAGGAGTATGTACCGAGTTTTAGGGGGATGGAGGGGTTTAAGGGGATGATGTTTCATTCGAAGGAGGTTCCTTGGAGGAGGAAGGATATGGAAGGTGCGAAGAATGTTGTGGTTGTTGGGGGCTCGAAGAGTGCTGCTGATGCGGTGTATATGAATGCGTCGGAGGGGAGACATGTTGACTGGATAATTAGAGGTAATTATTTTGCATTTCCCTGGAGTTCTGGTTGTGCTAATTAATGTCGTCTTGCAGCTTCGGGGAAAGGTCCTGCGTGGCTTTCATGGCCACATGTTTCTCCTCTCCAATTGCATGTTGAGAAGTTATCCACAACTCGCTTCTTCACATTTCTTTCGCCCTGTTTTGATACAGATTCTTATCCCACGATCCGGAAATTCTTCCATAACACTAGAATCGGAAGGTTCCTCGTGCGTTCATTTTTCAAGTTAATAGAGGGTGATCTCATATCCCAAGGAAAATACAACGACCACCCTGAAAGCAAGAAGCTTATTCCACCACAAAGTCCTTTCTGGAGCGGTACCTCCCTAGGAATCTTCAATTACCCCACCGACCTCATGTCCCTCTTCCAAAAAGGGCTAATACACGTACACCGCGTCGATATCTCAGAATTAACCGAGCACGGCGTCCTACTCAGTTCAGGCGAGGAAGTAAAGGCAGATACACTCATCCTCGCAACGGGATGGAAACTCCTACCCAGCGTGAAATTTCTCCCTGAGAATGTCCTTACAGATGAGAAGATGGGGTTAACCTCTTCAAATTTCAACGTCGAGAAGAAGAAAGCAGCAGCCCAAGAGCTAGTCAAACGCTTCCCCGTCCTCTCCGAGCGCCTCCCAACACTCATCCACCCCTCTGAACAAACCTCCTCCTCCTACTCCCTCTACCAAGCCAGTATCCCCCCAAATTTCCTCACCTCGCGAAACTTCGCCTACGCAGGTCTCGCGCTCTCGCTGCGCGGGCTCATGGTGTACGAAATCCAAGCGTTGTGGCTTCTCGCTTTCCTCGCTGATTCTCTCACTCTACCGGTGCCGACTGAGGAGGAGGCAGAGTGGGAAGCGATTAGCAGGAATGTGTTTTATCAGATGAGGGCTGGGCAGGGGATTGGAGGGAGGAGTACGGATATGGCGTTTGAGATTTTGCCGTTTACTGATACGCTTGTGAGGGAGTTGGGGTTGAGGGAGAGGAGGAAGGGGGGGTGGAGGGAGGTG